TATAGTGATAATATTTTTATAGCTAGCGTAATGATTAGTTTTTCGGGACTATGATTAGGATTATGTGTTGTTTATAGAATTTAAAACAATAAATTCAGGAATTTTTGTAACCATTTTTTAAAAGTATTAAATCCTTTTTCAAACGAATTTGAAACTAAACTATATTCTTTTTTCTTTAGAAAAGAAATAATACTCTTCGATTATTTGAAAGTAGATTTCAACAGAAAAGAAAGGAAATGATTGAGGAAGCGTCTCCAGCTGTAGGGATATTCAAGAGATCGTTCATTTCTTCCATAGCAGATTTCACGTCATCGAAATCCGTGACAGAAAAATGGATAAAGCTATTGATATTTCTTTTGAATTTAATCGGATTTCTATGTTTTACTTATCACTTCGCATCACAATATCTTGCTTATGAAACTACGTCAATAGTAATGATGGAGAGGCCAATATACATAGATCGTCCAGCAATCACTCTGTGTGATGCAAATAGGTGAGTAATCTATGTTTATGCAGCAAATTTACCCAAGCCATGTTGGTTTCAGTGCGATTCATGATGGTCCAACTTCATTGGATGCTTGCAGTCATCCAGCATTTTCCATTATGCACTCAGGATTTTTGACATGCCAAACTTCGATCATTCCAATGATGAAAAATGCAACATTTCTTACTATGCTGGTTGCCCATCGACAGAAGTTCGAGTCTCGTGGACCAACAATCCATGATAATCCGTGAAGGTTCATGATGTTTTCAACTAAACAATTCCATGATAGCTTAATGGGAATTCTTGTTGGTTCTCAAGAATATACCATCAAAACAATTTGGTTTTCTTATGTTGACCCATCATAAATCAGTCCGAATTCTTACATTGGGATAATGATTGATCATGATCATTCCAACATTTCATTTTTCGGAAACTATGATGGAAATTTCTGATGGTTTAACTTGAACAAACCATCAAAACAAGTTACTATTCTTATGCTATTCAATATTTTTTTCTAATACGCTAATGAATATCGGATATTCATTGAATGAACGGATCTCTAAAAAGAAAATAATCCTCACAAATTTATTGCATGTGAGTTTATATGTTTATAATTCATGATTTTCTTTTAAGACGAAACAGAAAACTAGTTTGTGAAGAACAGCCACATAAGTGCCAGTTCTTCAAATCTGAGGAAGAGTTTTGCAACAAGTATCACAGCTATTGCAACCTGGAAGACCTTTATTTGGGCGTAAGTCTTACGCATGCTTTAATTTTTATAAATGTATTTGCATTTGTCCAAGTCTAATGCATCATATTTTACGTATAAAATATTCGAATTAAAAAATTACAGTGTAAGAAATTCAATACATCAGATGCAAAGTATTAAGTATACCTTTTAATGTGTGGATTGCATAAAATTTATCATATAAAATTTGAAGAATAAAATATTTAAACTAGGTGTATTTTGAAAAAAGTGCGATGCATCAGGTACAAAGTAATCATGTTAAAATTTACTTTGTCAAAAGTGGAGTGCATAAAATTTTTAGTATGAGGTATTCGAATTAACTATTATATTGCCAGGAAGATTAATACATAAAATCAATAACTATGAAGCATTTAAATTTCTTTGTAGCAATCCTTGAACAGCCAACTTAATTTTGAGTTTGAGACTACAAATGTTCAACTCTGTAGCCTTATAGTTTTGTACGCAACACAGAAGAGAAGTGATTCCATGGATCAAATATTGAAAGAAATTTTGCTTTTGTTAAGAACTTTTTGATGGAACTAACTCTCATGTGTGTTACATGTGGCAGAAAAACACAAAAATCTCCCGTGTTTAGCTGAAGGCAAGGGGACTCTAACCCATGATCCGTCTACCACTGAGGATATTTGACGTCAGCACAGGGGTTAATGCAAGCCGGGGATAGAATTACTATCGTCTAACCATCGTTATAATTCGAACTCGACTCACCTTATTAGGGGGCGAATGCTCTATCAGGTTTAGATTTACCATTTAAAGTATGTTAGAACTTATGCAATTTGATATATTAACTTGAAATAACATACAATCGTCGGTATTTTCCCACATTAAATTTGTATTTGTTTTACACCAGAATTTTACGGAGTAAGACATTTTTTCATACTATATCGTTCACACCTAGTTGCATCCATTCATAAGATTTGTGTGAATTAATTTATAGCATGATATGAAATATATTAACTGTAACAGAAAATAATATCACTGTTTTGAAATTTTGTTTAATTTTTTAGGTTTTTAAAGAAAATCCTGTATGCCAAGATGATTGCTATAGCTGGCAAAGAGCAGTAGACGAATATAAAAACGTTATATATAAAATGCACGAAAACAGTTTATCTAATCCTTATGAGCGAAGGTAAAGATAATTTAACAAATAAAAAATATTAGATAATGTTTTTAAGACCCAAGAATATATATTTGCTTATAATTATAAAATGGAAAAATTATAAAAGCTTCTTTTACTCTGCTCTGCTTCTTCTTCCCTGCATCTACTTCTCTACTTTGCTTCTCCTTCTCTTCACTGCTTCTTCTTTTCTTCTCAGATTTTTCATTTCTCTACTTTTTCTTCTCTTGTTTGCTTCTTCTCTTCTCTGCTTCTTCTTCTCTGCCCCACTTCCTCTTCGCTGCTCTGATTTTTCTTCTCTGCTCAGCTTTTTCTTATCTGCTCTGCTGCCTGTTTTTTTCCTTGCTTAATCTTCTCTGCTTCTTCTTCTCTTCTCTGCTTCTTCTTCTCTGCACTGCTTCTTCTGTTCTCTGCTTCTTCTTCAGACCTCTGCTTCTTTTTTCTATCACTGTTCCTTCGTCTCTTAGTACTAAGTATGTTAAAGATTATAATGGGTTACCAGTGGCCTGTAGCCGAACACTTTACCTATGACAAGATTTCACATGTTTTCGCTAACAACGCTCAGATGTATCGTAGGAGGTAGAAATTACGCCAGTCGTGGTCTCAATTCTCAAACTGAATAATTTTTTTAAGTTTAAAAAATGGATGTAACTCTAAATTGCATTAAAAGATGCGGACAGATACTCATGATACATTATAAGAACATTATAAGCAGCTGTATAGATACAGGCATCTTTCTTTAAATACTACACATGTAAAGGTAACAATTAAAAAGTTATTAACAATTAAGGTTTTTAATGAATAATTGGGTTTGTTCCAAAGTGCAATCTACCTGTGTAGTTACTTAATGGATCAACAGACGGCTGTACTATAGTATAGTATAGTTGAAAAATCAAAAAAACTTTTGACAGTAATGTTAAGTGTTGATAAATAATAATTTCAACTAAAAAAATTATATTGTGCTGAACTAAAATAGTCACTGCCTACAACTGTAATCTAAAAATAAATAATAATAATGCTTAAATTTTGTTTCATTGAAAGATTGTTTGACTGTTCCTAAATTTTATTTTATTGAGTTCAAATTGAAACAACTTTAAGAAATTCTTTAACAGGTTTTCAAGATAGCCTTTACAAAGAAAGAATAATCCTAAAATGTTTCCGTTCAATTTTATGTAAAATATTGAAAATTGATTATTTTTTAAGGCATATTTTCCTTTAAATTAATAATTAGTTGCTGGAAGTTTCGGGTTTTAAAAAAGTAATAACTTTTAAAAAAATTGAGGTTTTAGAAAAGCACTTGGGGGGGGGGCATGTACTCCATCATCCTCCTGACGTCACATTTATACAAATTAGTGGAGTTATTTTACTCGCTAAAATTTTTATCCTTCTCCTTTTTTAAAAGCACGAATTTCAGTTATTCATAAGTGCGCTATGTAAAAATATGAAGTTTATCAATGTTTTTTTTCGTTTCCGTTGTTGAATCAGTTCTGCAGCTGCAAGAAAATGTTGGCATGCGTCTAAGATTTATTTTTGTTCCTTTTTAAGACTGTTTAACCTGGTGCCATTTATGAATAACGAGGGAGAAGTAGCACTTTGTAGGACCTATGGATTAAAGCATCGTCTGTTATTTTGGACAGATTTCAATCGAACAATTACTCTGAGAAATATACATAAGACTATTGGGAAAAATGAGACTACGGTTCATAGTTTGAAAGGTAAGTTAAAAAATTTCTATCTCCCAAATATTGAAAGGGTTTCCTTTGAGCTACAATATGACGGAGGTTTGTTTCTCCGTCTGTAGCCGCCAATATTCGTATAGTGGAAAATATCTTAATTCATTATTGCTCGTATTGGCCGCTAATAAAAGTAAATGGATGAAACAAAATGAAAGTCTCCAGGAAATTAATATGAATCGTGAATATGAAAATCCAATTTGTTAAGCAATATTTCTTGATGATTATAGAGAATGGCCATCAATACAAATTATAATAGTAATTGCCAATTATCCAAAAAATATCCCTTGAAGGGATCAAGGAAATATAACTTCCACATTAAGAAGTTTTTTTGTTAGCATTTCGTTACGATTGCATAAATTTTTTAAACCGTTAGGATGGCAGGGACAGGAGAGCTCCAAAGGGCACTCCTAGTCGCACCAAATTTTGAATTCCAAGTGAATATAATTATTCCCAACGGACATAGAAAGTATGGGTAGGAGATCCAAAATTGGCGATTTATCATATATATAATAGCCACAAGAAAGCCAACTAGCATATCAATATGGGTTTAAAAGAATACCTTGGCGATCACGAGTCGCCAACAAATTTATGAGAATTATTACAACCATGCAACTGAACCATTTAGCGGTTGGAAATGAGTCAAAATTTTAATAGCGGTAACACCCAAAATTCGATATCATAATTTTTACATTTTTTGTTGTTTTTTAAAAAGTAGGGGAGAGTGGAGTCAATTGTAACATTTTTTACTTAACTATTTTTAACTGACAAAAAATCCAATATGTTATTAGTATTAATTGACAGACGAGTAGAGTAGACGATCCTTTAATAGTAAAAAAAATAAATACCTTATTTTAAATGTTATTATATTAGTTATTAACAATTTTTGACATTCGTGTACTTGTTACAATTGTCCCCACTTACGGGGTCAATTGTAACAGTTCATAAATTCAACTAAAACATAGTTAATTATACATATTATCATAGTTGTGATATATTTTTTTATTGATCAAAATAGTAGTGATATTTTAGGAGTAAAAATAATAATGAGCAGA